ACCACATGGAAATCACCACTCAAAGTACAATTTTAATATATGCAAGATAGCAAGCATTTGGAAATACTAAAAAATGAGAATTAAAGCAGCTTTTACATCTCTCTAGGAAAATAATTTTGTTTATTGCTAGAATTTACTCTGACTCCTGACCAACTCAATCTAAAGTGAGGGTTAGAGGAAACCACGTTTGGACACTGATGAAAAGGGGAAAAAGTAATAAAATCTACAGATGGTTCAAGGTTTTAGAGAATTTAAGATAGAAATTTCACCCAATGAGACCATGAAACATGGGATCTGATTCTCCACTATGTTCTAGGAAAGAATCCCCTTGACTCAGGTCATGGCCGTCAGCACTGGAGCAGAGATAGGATAGTGTATTTCTTCTGGGCTCACTACGGTGTCTATGTCAGTGTGATGGGTGATAACTAATTTATTTTGAATAACTCAATGAATGAATGAGTAGTGTTTGACTTTGGTGAACCCCCAAAATATCCCCTCAGAGCCCAGCACATTGAGTCCTCTGCCTCGCATCCCTGTGTTGTTCCTTCCAAAGTCCGCATCACTTGAGGATGATATTTCATCTAACCTGTCAGCTATTGGTCCACTTACCCCTTTAAATAAAATATTACAGCACAGACTTATCTGTAGTCCTTTGGAGAAAAAAATCTGAATGTAAGTTTAGACAACTTTGTACAAAAATGACTTTTCTTCTGCTTAACTGAACATGAGACTCTGTCCTTTCCAAGATTCTTCATCTGTAAAATTATTTTGTAAAGAGGAGGGCAGAACTTCTAAGGATACTTCTAGTTCTTCAAATTTACAATTTAGAGTTATGAAACTTATCTATAATCCCTATGTAAATCAAATCACCATTAATTTAAATAGGTAGTCCTTTCTCCTGAAAACTACCATTTAAAAAGGGGGACTCCAATAAGACAAAAGTACAAAAACAAATAGTGGATCAAAGAATCTGTTTTAGGTGGACACTAGAGACATTCCATGTAATTTACATGGCTTGGTAGCTTTGGAAAACCTGATGACACACATACAGGATTCTTTAATTAACATTACAGTAGTATAGCAAGTAGTATCATAATGATGAAATAGGTTGGACATAACGAAAATCTCGAGTTTCATTCCCATCACAGGCACTCTGTCCGCCTGGATCATCTTAAGACATACTCACCTCAGGTTCCATATCTTATATTGGGGATGATAACAATAAAAATAGAAAAATTCCAGGAGAATTCTGGGGCATTAAAAAGATAACATTTGCAAATTGCATAGTACATAGGATAGACACCTGGGTCCACATAAATGCTTGTTATGTTTTGTCTGGTTCTGTGATAGTTTTACTCCATTAGTTTAAAAGTGCTGGGATTTGGAGTAGGAACAGGTTAAACTTTACAAATGGCTCATGAAAGAAATTTTAAATAGTTTTAAACCAGTTTTGGAAGAGATCTAGTTTTCAGCCAATAGACCACATCGACACTTGCATACAGGCTTAACTTATCTTTCTTTGTGGGCGGAAGAATTTCAGGTGGCACTTGAAACAAATGCACAGTGATTTCATTGAAATATTCATGGATATTTTTAAAGAGAGAATACAAAAAGATATTGGAAATTTGTGAAAATGATATAGATATCTATATTCACATAGAAATAAAACCTTCTTTTCAGGTTTTTTTCCTTCATCCATTTCTAATTTTAATTTTGACATCTGAGAAGTTTTAGATTGGATTCTATTCCATCGTTACCCATGAACAGGGTAAATAAGAATTTTGCATAATTGCTTTTGGCTGTTTCTGATTTTTAAAGGGGAAAATACCCATCACTGCAAAAATTTAAAGTACAGGGAAGTATTAAGAAGCATATGCAAATAAATCAGATATAATATTATTACTGAGAACAATGCTACAACATTCTAACATTGGAAATGTCTGTATGTAAAATATGGTGAGGAAAGGTGAATTATTTTTAATTTGTTTTACTCTTCCATCAAGTTTCTTGCTAAAACTAAAAGTATGAAAATGTGTAATTTGTGTAGAGAGAATAATATCATCAAAGAATGACAATGATTGAAATATCACTATTTATCATGCCAAAAAGAATTCAGGTTATAATCAATGAATTAGTCTAAAGCAGGAAAAAACAGTACACAAAATTAATGAGTGTGATCCATTTTATCACAAGGGAATTCACCAAGGGAACCAGATGCTGAATGGTACTTTTGTGTACCCCAAACTAAACTGACCAGAGGACTAAAATCTACACACAGGGGAAATACTGCAATATCAAGGAAATGGACTAAAATATTAATGGGTTTTCTCATTTTTGATGGCCAAATTCTATCCTATAAGCAGTGCATTAGGCACTAATGACATACGATCCTTTTCTCACTGACAGATTTAACAGCATCAGTAAGGCCTCTCTGTCCATTGCAGCAAATTGATCCTACATGACACAGACAAGGGCAGCCTGCACTTAATGACCTCCATCGCTGAAGGATGGAAATGAAAAATGACTGGAAGTACAAATAAATCTTTGAAAGTTTCCCTGAAACAGGTGTGCTAAAAGAGTGATTCGTGTGAGGGATCACAAACATAAACCTAGTCTCTTAGCATTCTCCATTGTCTGTCTGCTCACACCAGGATCTCATTCCTTGTATCTTGCATCAAGATTAGCCTTAATTAAAAAAAAATGAGACCAAGATAACTCTGTTCTTACTATGGAAATAGGCTGTTAGGGTTCTTGCTTAAAGGGCAAGTGTCTACTATTTATGCGGATATCCGATAGAGTTGTCATTTGCCACCAAAAGATTCTGTACAATCTATAACAAGTGTGCATATGATTTGTTTGCTTCCCCCTGGATTAGAAGAGGAAATGCAATATAGTAATCAATTATTTTCTCCTCCTCAATTATGAGCAACATACAGAATATGTTTGATCTCAGAAACAATGTCAAATGCATGAAATTACTGGACAGATGCTCCATGGATACAGAGATCCCCTTTGAATTCTGTACAGTGGTTTGAGGATACTAAGATTTGGGCAGGTTATTGTATTTTCAGTTGTTTCCCAAAGACATTTATTTCTTGATCTACTTTTATATTCTACTATTCTGATACAAATTTGTAAGGGAAATATATGCTTCTTTTACTCAGTATATTTGTAAGCATTAACTCTCATTCAAGTAGAGGGAGGAAGGAGAGACATAGGGGAATTTATAATCAGCATACAGATGAATGTAATAATTACAGTTGCTTAACAGTTCTTTCTTTTCTTTTTTCCCCCACCCCTCCTCCCTTACCACCCATTCTGCTCCCTCCCTCTCCCTGCAGAAACTATTTTGCCCTTATCTCTAATTTTGTTGAAGAGAGAGTATAAGCAATAATAGGAAGGAACAAGGGTTTTTGCTAGTTGAGATAAGGATAGCTATACAGGGAGTTGACTCACATTAATTTCCTGTGCATGTGTGTTACCTTCTAGGTTAATTTTTTTTGATCTAACCTTTTCTCTAGTTCCTGGTCCCCTTTTCCTATTGGCCTCAGTTGCTTAAGATATCTGCTTTAGTTTCTCTGCGTTGAGGGCAACAAATGCTAGCTAATTTTTTAGGTGTCTTACCTATCCTCACACCTCCCTTGTGTGCTCTCACTTTTATCATGTGCTCAAAGTCCAATCCCTTTGTTGTGTTTGCCCTTGATCTAATGTCCACATAGGAGGGAGAACATATGATTTTTGGTCTTTTGGGCCAGGCTAACCTCACTCAGAATGATGTTCTCCAATTCCATCCATTTACCAGTGAATGATAACATTTCGTTCTTCTTCATGGCTGCATAAAATTCCATTGTGTATAGATACCACATTTTCTTGATCCATTCATCAGTGGTGGAGCATCTTGGCTGTTTCCATAACTTGGCTATTGTGAATAGTGCCGCAATAAACATGGGTGTGCAGGTGCCTCTGGAGTAACCTGTGTCACAGTCTTTTGGGTATATCCCCAAGAGTGGTATTGCTGGATCAAATGGTAGATCAATGTTTAGCTTTTTAAGTAGCCTACAAATTTTTTTCCAGAGTGGTTGGAAAAAAGTAACTTTTTTTCCCAAACAATTCACTTGTGAGGTAACTTATTTTATAGATGAGAAAACTGAGGTTGGAAAGGTTAAATTACTTGCTTCTCCGAATTTCCATAATAATGAAAGGTAAGTATATTACTAAATTTCTAAACTGTAGCTTATAGTACAGCATCATGGACAATATCAATAGGAGAAAAGATGCATTAGCAGTGTACTGGCTCTTGTGGCTAAGTAAATTGTTAAAAAAAGAAATCAGGCTTCTATCTTTTTTGAAATTCAAATCTTGGGGACAAAGACTCTTTATATTGAAGCTTCCCCACCCTTTTTTAATCACACCATATTTTTCTTCCTTTTTGATTCATGTAAGTTTTCTTTTGTATTTTTACCATTACAGGAGATTTTATAAAATACAATCAGAATTCTCAGAGATTGCCAGTAACCAGAAGGAGTAAGCTATTTGTCCAAGTTTCTAATTAATTCTCATATAATAAGAGAATATGAAAATAAAAAACAACAAATAAGAAAATAAAAAACAAAAATTAGAGCACATAGTCAAAAGGGAGACTTAGCAGCCCGTTCTGAGAGATCACCTACAGTTAGAATTGAAATTTGAAGTCTATAATACAGTATTGAAGTGTGCACTAAAATAAGAAAAAAAGGGGATTTGTAGTTTTGGTAATTAAAAGCAAATTAGTATGAAATGGTAGATTAAAAACTAAGTTTTTCATGTCTCAAACATTCTTTCAAAATTCAACTTCAGAAGGTTGACAGAAATATACAATGAGCCTTTACAAAAATAAAATATACCATTTTTGTAGCATAAGGACCATTATCATGCTGAAAATCTAAAAACTGACCACTTTTTATTTTTTGTAGTGCACATGTCAAATAAATCATTATTTAAAAAATTTGAAAAAACTGTACCTGTTTCTTATCACTGACTGAAGCATCAAGTGATAGCTGTTTATCATACACTTTGAAGTAATTATCCTTTTCTTTTAAGTAAATGTTCTGCATCATTTGATACTCTTGAGCTAAACATAGATTTTCTTCCAGCAATTTCTCTTTTGTTTTCTAGAAGATAAATATATGTAGTTGAGAAATCATTTCAATTTGTTTGAACTTTTACAGCTTTTAAATTATCTAAAAGTATTCTTATTGTATCTTGTAGAAAAATATCAACCAAAAATGTTTTCCCTGACACCAACATTCTCCTTGGATTCAATAATTTTCTTTCTTGATGTGGATATATTTTTTAGCACTGATGTATGATTTAGCAGAGCATTCTGCCTTTTGCTCCCTCTTTTCCAAGACTCCCCCGTCTTGCCTGGACATAACGAGTCCTGGGAACCTCTACTCAGTAGCCCAGTCAACAACTCTATCTTGTTTTCCTTTCCTCTGGCCCCTGTGCTCAAAGAGGAAGAACACACTTCCATGCTCAGAATTTGACCTGTGGAGAGGTTCAGAATATTGGTACTCACAGAAAACATTCAAAAATAGGAGGAAAGTATGGAAGACTTAAAAAGCACTCAGAACAATTATTTGTTATTAAAATATTTTAGCCATATTAAAAGTTAAATTGGCTTTTGTGAGTAGTTGAGAACTGTTAACATAACACCTTCCTCTATGACTAAATAAATACAAGTTAAATCTAATACAAATCCTTTAGGAAATAATTTTGTGTCATCACCCATCTACATGCTGGGGCTACCTGGAATTTTAAGTTGGACTCATGAATTCACTTTAGTTGATGGTTCCTTTTATATATTTCTTACACAGAACAATTTCTCTGGCTGCCTCAAAAAATATTGGATTTATGGGCAGATTTAAATATTTTCAAACTTGTTAATATTGTCACTTCTACTCTAAGTAAAAAAACAGAAAACACTGTATTCATTGCAATGTTATTCACAGTAGTGAAAGAGTTTTAAAACTCATAAATACAGATTAATCATAATGATGACTACATTACTAGATATGAAAATAACTATTGTGAGGTAAATTAACATGTTTCTTTATGAAAATTGCCATTACATCGAACCTTTAGTATAAGTTGTTAAAAAATACATGTGGCATAAGAATGTGTATAGAAAAGTGTAATTCAGCAGAAAATTGCCTATACAAATTATTTCTGTATTTACACACTGAAAGATTTATTAAGGTCAGCAAACATATTTCTCATGAAAGCCTGGTATCCATATTGATCCCCTAATGATTAATACTATGTCATAGATGTTCTTCAAAAAGCCAAAATGATGGACTGAGATCCATTTTATATGCCCTTGTTCTTATTTTGGCACAATAATTTAAAACTTTACAAGCATATCTGGTAAACTTGCTTAAAATCACATAGAATTATTTTGCATTGGGAGGACCAAGTTCCATGAATATCTTCATTTGGTGAAGTCACTTAAAGATGGCTATTATACTTTTTGATACTTGAACCCTAATATTAAAATCTAATCCTCAAGTGACAAGCTTAAAGCACTGATATAATTCTGAAGGTTTTTTGGTTTGTTTGGTTTAACATAAGCACAACTCATATTTCATCTTCAGTTACTTTTTTTTTTTCAAGTTCTTGATGGCTACTGCAAACATTTGAGAAGAGTGCTACAAAAGTTGTAGGATTTGTATAAACCTATTTAATTGAACATAATGGGGGGAAATCTTGTTAATTTATTCTTTGTTCATTGTGTAATATACAGTTCTATTTCCAAAAGCATACAATTGTAACTTCTGGATGACACTAGTACTTAACCATTTTATATGATATAAGTAAAGAAGACACTAAGAAATTGAATTGTGTAGTTAAGCCAATTAATCTTCAAAACATTGCTACATCAGTCATAATATTTTATAATTGTTATAATTGCCTAAAGATAAATGTATAGGATTTATGAATTCACTACTTATTCCATTGCACATTTAAATGTGCAATGAAGTTTTAAAATTTTTAAATGATAGTATCCTACTGACACAGAAAGTGTTTTCTATGTTTTACTTGTAGTTCTGCTTCACAACTATGACTAATTTTATTTTAACCTATGGTATTATAACATGCAAATGAAACAAAGGAGGGAGATGGTAATTACTGGTGGAAATATATCTGGGAGAAAGTTGAACAACTCGTAAAAGGATAGTAGCAAAAGGTCCTTAATATGAACTCCAAAGTAAAGGTCAGGAATGTGCCAAAGAGTGATAACCCAGGAGAAAGAATGAAGAGAAGTAAGGCGATTTTCAAGCTTTTCAATCCAAATACATCTGAATCTCATTAATAAAACCTTCCAAATTAAGGTCTTGGCTAAGTGTGAACTTGAAAAGAATATTTGTGGATCTAAAAGTATTAATGAAAAATTTGATTGCATTCTCTGTAGGTTAAAATAACTACATTCTGAGTTGATTTATGTTTTTTCTTTCTTTTACTTGTTCATTAATTTATTCAAAGGTTTTATTTAGTATTTACTATATGCCATACTTAGATATGAAGGTATACCTCAAGAATTTTATAGTCTTGTGGGAAAGATTTTTTATTTTAAAAAGTCCACAAATATATAACTAGAATGTAGAACTCTAAATTGCCATTTTTGTTTTACATATTCAGTAAATGCAGCCAAACGTCTGAATAAATATAGCAATTATCAAAGCTATGCTTCTTGCTATTTATTCATTTCTCATTAGTAATGATTATTTAGATGATAAAACATCAGGAATTTATCTTGATAAAAAAAGATACATGATGAATATCTGCTAGTTTCCATGTCATGTAGAATTTAGATAGGAAAATATTTATCTTGATGACTTGCTCTCTATTATCTCAACTTAGTCGTTAAACTTAAATGCTTAGGGGACAGGACAGCTTATTATCCCAGTACTTTATTAGGATTTAAAGGTTATGTTTATAAAAGCTAGGTTTTAAGTTCCATGAGTGCCAAGATTATCATTTTCTTTACTCCAAGGTATGTTGCACACAGCAGAACCGATATAAGTAGGCACATAGGTTTTCTGTAAATAAATGAATGAATACACATAAAACCAGTTATGGTATGCATATATCTTGTTTTTTCAGAATGTTCCCATTTATTTATTTATTATATAGTTCTGATGGGTGTGGGTACATGGTAGCATTTACAAAGGTTCTTACAATGTATCAAATATATCATACTTGAATTCACCCCTCCTCTTCTCTCCCTCATCTCCCTCCTTCTGATTCCTGGAACAGCTTCAACAGGTGTCATTTTTGGATTTACATACATGTGTACACATTGTTTGTACCATATTCATCCTCCTACCCCTTTCCCCACCACCTCCCCCACCACTTACTGGTACTACCCCCCCCAGTCTATTCCACCCTCCTGTTCTCTGATTTTGTAGAAGAAACAAACATAAAAGATAAAATGAGAAAATATTTTTTGCTAGTTTGAGATAAAGATAGCTACACACAGAGTTTTCTTGTGGTGTTTCCATGCAGATAAGTATTACAGTCCCAATTGATTCACGTCTTCCAGTCCTCTTCACTCCTCCCTAGTCCCTTTCCCATGGTGGCCCTGGCCAATTTAGGATTTCTATATTCATTCCTGTACAGTGAGCATATCAACCACATTCAAATTTTTGGTTTCCTTCCTTTGCCCTATCTCTCCCTTGCATAGCTTCCCCTTAGTGTGACCCATGTCCAATAATATTACTCCATTTGTTTTAGGTCTACAATCCATATGTGAGGGAGAACCTGTGGCTTTTGGCCTTCTGAGCTTGGCTAACTTCAGTTAAGATGATATTCTCCAATTCCATCCATTTACCTTTGAACAACAAAATTTCATTCTTTGCAGATGAATAAAATTCCATCGTGTATAAATACCACATTTTCTTAATCCATTTGTCGGTAGTGGGGCATCTTGGCTGTTTCATAGCTTAGCTATTGTGAATAGTGGTGCAATAAACATGGGTGTGCAGGTGCCTTTGTTGTAACCTGAGTCACATTCCTTCAGGTATATCCCTAGGAGTGGTATTGCTGGATCATATGGCAGAACTATTTCTAGTTTTTTAAGGAGCCTCCATACTGTTCTCCATAGTGGTTGTACTAGCTTACATTATCACCAGCAGTGTATCAGTGTTCCTTTTTCCCCACATAGGGTGCATATATTTTGAATGTTAGTACCATACATTTTATTTGCCACTTCCTTGAGATGACCTTTTTATAACCACCTATAATAATGAAATACATTCATTTATTGTATTTCATATACTATTCAAGAAGTGAAGATAATTAAGTATATAAAGAGAATTTACAGAATGATGCTTGCACTGAAAATTATTCTCAGGGTATACCAGATTGTGCAGGCTTAGCAAGTGTTCTGGATCTGTCTTTTCACAAAGTATGTGAACCCCTTGAAACTATACACAGCTTTTCATTGGTTACTTAGTCTTTGATGTCATGTGTTGAGGAGCCACCACTAAAAAAAAAAGTACTTATGCTTCCTTCTCTGTCAGTAAAAATGCTAAAAAATAAAGGAAGGTTGAGACTCCAAACATTAAATAGTGGTTCTCCATTTTCTTTTTACTTGACATGCTTTATTTTTTAAACTGGGGATTTCATCTTAGATGAAATTTCCCCCATTTTCTCTACTTCAGTTTATTTTTCTCACTGTTGTCTTTCTTCTTTCTCCTTCCCACTGGGTAGATGGGAATAAGGAACTTTAATCATAAAACAGGGTCCTTTTTGGGCAAAAAAATAGAGCATATTTTACATTTCACCTTGTGATATACAGCCAAGAATTTAGAAAAAAGTTTGATCTTGAATGTGAACTTGTGAGTTCCATAGTAATGGATAAGATCTGAGTCTGACAGAGTTAGCTCCATGAGAAAGAACACATTCAAGACAGTAAATCTTTATCTTAACTGGATGGATGATGCAATAAGATAATAAAGAAATGATAATAAGAATTAAAATTAGAGTAGCAGTTAACATCAGAAAATGCTTATGAACTATTCTAAGGCAGTATTGACTGAATTTATTCTCATAGCAATTGTCTGAGATGTTATATTATTATCTTCATTTTAGAGATAAAAGAGACAAGGCA